TGAAAATTAAAAAAAAAAAAGACTGGAAATGTTGTTCAGTGGTGGAGCACCCTGGGTTCATCCCCAGACTCACTCTCTCTCTCTCTCTCTCTCTCTCTCTCTCTCTCTCTCTCTCTCTTCTCTCTCTCTCTCTCTCTCTCTCACACACACACACACACAAGTAAAATATAGAGACTTTAAGAACAGCTAGCTGAAAAATCACTCATCTGTGCATTGATTAAGCAAATGTTAGCTTGTAAGTTAAGTGCTGGGTATTTTAAACTAAGAGCTCTGTTTTATCTGATAGGCATCTGTAGCTAGAAATTACTAGAGCTTATATGTTTTCTATAGAAATCTTTTTTGTTTGGTTGTTTGCAGTGTTGGGTCTCTAACCTAGATGTTGCCGTACCACTGAGTTAGCCCTTGCTAAGCTGAAAACTGGCTTTGAATTTGGAGTCCTTTTGTCTCAATATCCAGGGATTACAGCTGTGTGCCACCGTGCCCAACTCCTGTTTTTAGTATTTATTGAACACACATTTTGGCCCTTAGCTTGTAGGTATACTTGAGTTCTGGGAGTAGACCTGCCAGTAATTTTTCCTGTCCTTCAGGAGTTCTGTGGACAACTTTCTTTATTTTTCAGTTTTCTTATGTGACAAAGAGGGAGACTAAGATTTTCTTTATCTATTTCATAGGTTTTTTTCTGGTGGGTCCCCGTAAGGGACTGAATTGAAAATGCCTTGAAAAGCTGTAAGAATGGCAGCAGCAGCCACTATTACACACACTGAGCCAGGCACGGAGCCATGCATATACTTTGTTACCTCCTAGATTGCAGAACTTTGAGGAGTAGTTAATACTATATTCTTTTGAAAGAGAAGTCACTCTTAATAGAGTGATAAATATAGATAAGGTACTTGAGGATTTGAAAGGGAAGAAGTAATTGCTTCTGGCTGGAATTCAGGAAACACTTCCTGGATGAGGTGATATTTTGGCTCAGTCTTGCAGCATTTATGGAAAATGTTGCCCTAATGGCACAGAAATGACCTTTTATGTACCATTCATCTAACTATAAAACAGTCTTCATTGTAAGTGAGAATATTGTGCTTAAATTAAAAATGCCTCAAGCACATAGCTTGCTGTTGGTTGTCCCATGCTTTTCTCTCCCTCAGATGAGAGAGAGGGAACTTAGCTTAGGAAAGTGCTGTTTTCTTCATAGACTTCTGGAGGATGACCTGGCTGGTGGATAGGAGGACATTACTGTCCTCTACTCAGTATTGTGCACATGGTGATCCCAATCATCACTTCCTAACCCTGGCAAGCTGCGGTGTACAGTGTAGTGTCGATAGCATTATAAAATAAATTGTTTATTTATAAGTTATTTGCAGCAGTTCTTAAGCAGAGTTCTTTTTAGAATATTGTTATCATTTTTTTGTAACAATCTTCAAAGAAAGTGTAGTCAGTGACAGTTTGATTTATCTTACATACATAGCTATTTCTGTCATAATACTACTTTTACATGTTTTTGTACTAGCCTGCCTTTTGAAAGAATTCCTCTATAGACTATAGAAATCTGTGTTGCTTTCCAATGTGGGTCCCACAAGACATGAATGAATACCTGAAGAGAGGACTTACGCAAGGCGTACATAGTGCAGTTGAATCCTACAAGTATTGGAGTGCACAGGACCAAGATCCTGTGCTTAGCTGGGCCACCTGAACTTGAGTAGGGCAGCAGGTAGTTGAGTACACAGGTAGCTGTGAGTCCTGGGCACTGACTGGCTTCAGCAGGACACAGAGCAGGTAACAGGTCAGTGTTGTGTTGGGGATGGGCCCTGAGTTTAGGCACAAGTGTTAACAATTCTGAAAATATGTCCAGAACTGTTTCTATAGTTACAAAAGCGCCTATATCTAGGTTTTTTCCCTTTGGTGCTAAAGACCCTAATTCTTTACCTGCTTCCCTGTCTGTCCTGGCCGGGAGAAAAAAGAGTGTGAGCTAAAATGATTTTGTTGTTAACCAAACCTCTTTTCCTAAAAATAGACTCATCTGTCTTGCAGATCAATTGTTGTTCACTTCCTAGTCAGCCTCCTTCCTTAGATGCTTGCTTATACACCTCCACCTCTTACTCCTAATGACCAGTGGCAGCTTAATGTTACATGTTTCCCTAATCCTATGTTCTTTCTTACCTTGAGAGTAGCAACACAAGGACATACTTTAAGAAACAGTCGTCCAGAACAGTGCTCTGGGTAGCAGCCTAGAGTATGTGGGCTATTGGCGTTTAGACAAAGAAAGGGAAGGGAAGTTTGGGTTTGAGTGCAAAATGCATGAAGCAAAAGCGAGAGGGAGAAAGAAAAGGCAACAATATTACACTATTAAAAATGGGCACTATGCAGCAACCGTAAAGGCAATAAGATTCATTATGACGCCCATTCCGGTTGACTATTACCTTCTTTTAAAGTCCTGTAATGTCTCCAGTGTTTTGGTTTTATTCTTTACTGTTTTGTTGAGTTTTATTATAACTGATGATATAGGCAGTTCTTTTTAAGATAGCAAGAGGCATTATGGTAACCATTGTTGATCACCTAGTATTTTGTTTTTACATTATCTATTATGTCCATCCTTTTGATTTGACTGACTCTGTTCTGTTATGTCACATTTAGTTTTACTCTCTTCAAAAAAAAAAAAAGTAATAAGAACTGTGGGAGTAATAAAACCCAAAATGTGTAATTGTACAAAAGAAAGGAAAAGAAAGTACTCTAAAGAATATAACTGCATATATATTTAAGTGTATAAGATAGATAACCATAGTACTGAGTTTTGTTGGATCATTGAACAAAACTGTTTCCAGTCTCACTGTTTGAAAGTCCACTTTATATGCTTTAATTTTGTAACTTAAACAACTATTTCTAAGATAGCAGTATGTAATCTATTAACTAGTGATTTCCTATTGTTTATTTTTTCTGAAATTCTGTATAACTTGTACCCTTTTCTGTTTTTTTCCTTCTTTTTCTCCTTAAATTAAAAAAAAAAAGTCACTATGTTAAATATTAGTTTTCATTATTGACTGTTAACCATTTGGATAAGGTGGTAGAGAAACTCGTCTTAGTGTCCGTTATCCGGAAGGTAAGATATTTTCACTGAATTTATTTTAATTAAAAAGGACAGAGTAATAGAAAAACATAATTGTATCACCTAGAATTAATAACATATGTTAACCTTTTGTCTTTTTGCTTCACATATTTTTATGATAAAAACAATATGACAGATGGATTTGAAATCCCTTGACTTCCTTTTTGTGTCACAGTCCTTTTTCTCTCCACAGGCTGCAGCTGCTCTGTCTTTTCTTGTAACCTTCTCCATATTTTATACATGTGTGACATGTGTATCCATAAACAACATTGTATTGGTTTCGATAGCTTTGTTTTTTCCAGGCACTCAGTGTCTTCAGGATGAACTACATCCTCAGGCCTTTTTATTATTTGTTTTATACTGAGACAGGGTCTTATTAAGAAGCTAAGTTAACAGTTGTCCATGCTGTGCTCAAACTTGTAACTGTCTTACCTCAGCTTCTCAGAGTGCTGAGCACATAGGGGTGCACTACCATGCCTGACTGTTTTTGTCTTTTATTTGCATTAAAAGTATATATCTTGTTTAACTCCTCTTGTTTTTGAGATCTGTCCATCTGAGATACTTAGGTCTGGTTCAGGCCATGAAAGTGTTGTGGTGTCCTGTGATGTGAATGCACTATCTTCCTCATTTATGTTGGGGTCTAGCAATACTTAGATATGAATCCTTGTTTAGGTCTTTTGGTGCCTGTGGTCATGCTTAGGGTTTCTGGGCTATTGACTATATAGTCTCTCACTTTTATCTCTTTTAATTCTCCCAAATTCACTCAGGCAGGTGGTGTACTTTCCATTTCACACATGAGAAAACTGAGAGACTGAAGTGGCAGGTAGTTCATCCAACTTTGTAAGGGGGACAGTATTCAAATCCATATTGAATTCTACCTGTTTAAATCCAGGGCCCTAATACCCAGCAGTTCATGCAGATCCTCAACTTTTAACCTTTATAGTCATTAGAAGACTTGCATCCAGGTGATAAACAAACCCTCTATATCTCTTTTGGTTACTTTTCTTCCGTTGCTGAGACAAATTACCTGATGTTCAACATGAAGGAAGGAAAGGTTTATTTCTTACAGTTTGGAGGTTTCAGTCCATATTCAGTTGGCTCCAAGGCAAAATAACATGGCTGAGAGACAGCAGTTCATGATGGCCGCAAATAGCAAGCGCCAACAGCAAAAGAGAAAGACATGCCTCCTTGCCCTCACATTGTATGCTGGCTCCTTCCCTGGGTGGGTGTAGCACTCGTATCACCAATCCAAGCACTAGACAACAAGCCAATCACAAATGCTAGATTCAGCTGAGTCCATGATTGCATAAGACTTGCAGGGGCCACTGACATAAACCATGACAATAGTCTGTCTGTCTGTCTGGATTCAGAGTAGGTGACAAGAAGGGATAATGTAAGAAGGACCAAGGGTAGCCATACTTCCTTAGTTGTGATCACCAAAAGGGTTCAAGGGTTCAAGTTTGGGAGTAAAAACATGCTTCATTAAATGATGGGTGCTGGGGCTGGGGATTTAGCTCAGCGGCATAAGCGCCTGCCTTACAAGCAGGCAGTCGCGAGTTCGATCTCTGGTATGGATAAAAAGGAAAAAGACAAAAAAAAAAAAAAAAAAAAAAAAGATGGGTCCTAGGTTTCCATATACACGACTCCTGTTCCATGATGATAGAAAAGTGTTACTTAACATACATACATTAAATGCAACACACATGCATTTTTTTGAGTAAAGAAAAATGTTAAAGTGAGCAGGAGAGTCTGTATTTTACTTTGCAAGGTTTGTAGACCATTTTTTCCAGGTAAATAAAGCTATGTGAATGTGAATCTTTTATTCATAATATTTTATTCACACATGAACCATGTCTTTTTGTATTTCATTTTTTATTTTGTTTTTTTTTTCAACTTCTAGGTAGAAAATCTGGTATATTAATTGTGAAAATTTTAGAGCTCCATGAGGAATGCACCATGCAAGTTGCCATGTGTGAGCAGTTAGCAGGCCCGACATCCTCCATGCCTTGCCAAGGTGTGACCCCTGCACCTGGAGGTAATCTGAAAGTTCTCTTTACACGGGAAACTGCACGCTACCTCCAGGGACGTCCCCAGGACATCATCCACATTTTCCCTCCCTGGTAAGTGCAAAGAATTGAATCCAACAGTCACCAACTGTGAGCCTTCTTTAAAAATCATGAACATTTTAATCACTTTACTGTAGAGAAATGCCAGGAAACAAACCCAGGAATTTACATAGGTTTTATGTAACTGAAGCATTGAATTGTCTTTTGTGGCTTCCTACTTCTGGCAGCAAAGTTGGATAATTTGAGGTAAGGGAGATGGGAAAACAGCTGCATCATTCTTGATGAAGAGGTGCGTTGTTTTAAGATCTGGCTGTTTTTATTTGTATCTTTTTTTAAAAAATACTTTTTAATAGGCACTATGTGACAGGGTAATATATAGTAATTTAGTATTTTTTGCTACTCATTACAATAGCAATAATCGTGCCTCGGATGAACTTCATTGACTATGATAACTACCACTGTGCAAAGATTCACTTAAGAATAAAAAGCAGGGCTGGGGGTTTAGCTCAGTGGTGTAAGTGCCTGCTTGGCAATTGCGAGGTCATAAGTTCAACCCCTGGTACAAAAAAAATAAAGAACAAAAAGCATAAATTAAGGCCTAATATAACTGGTTTGATCTACTAGATCAGAAATTATTTTCAGCAATACAGTGTTTACTTTCTTTGCATGTAATATTAATTTTCACCATGAAGAGAAGAAAACCTTATTTCTTTTGAGGTAAAATATGAACAGCTTTGTTTTAGGGACTCATCATTAAGTTTTGACACTGTTTAATGTTTCATTCATTTAAGAAATCCTTATATTTGTAATTGACAAAAGAGTTTTAAAATTAAGTTTTTCTTAGAGGAAAGATCTCTTTAGAGTGTCATAGCCAGTGATCATCACTTCTTGGTTTCTACAGTGATGCCCACAGGGTTCTTCAGTGGGTATAGATTCTCTGAAAGTGCTATCTTCTGGCTTACTTACCCTATAGCCTGCATTTCTCCTTCTTCTTTTTGAATATTTTTAATTTTCTTTCTTTGAGTAATGTTTTGCTTCATAATTGTAGCACAGGCTGAAAAATAAGTGTGACAGGAAATTCACATTTAAAATGATTATTTGCCTTTAAATGATATGTTAAGTTCTGACTGTTTTTAGCCAAAATGTCATTCAGTGGAAATAGATTTTACTTTCTAGCAAGATAAACTGGTATGTTTGTATTAACAAAGCTATATGGTACCAGATATTAGTTCTATTTTTAAGAATTTAGGAAACATATAGAAATGAAACTATCTAAAGTAATTCTATAATTTCATGAATTTCTCTGGAGTCATTTTTCAAAATGAGCAACCCCCCAAAAGAAATAATTAATGTGGTTAATAAATAGAAATATCTGGAAGAAGTTTATTCTTTTTAAATTTTTTAAATTTTGATTAGTATATGTTTGTGGTACATTATGATTACATTCATTGTGGAGAATTGGTACATGTACATGAGATCTCAATTCTTTTTTTTTTCCTCTTTTCCTGCAACCCTTAAAATATTTTTATTTTTATTTTTTTGGCAGCGTGACATTATTTGTTTTTATAAATCCTTATCAAGTCATAAATAAAGATTGACACTCAGGTCTATAGGCCAAAGAAGCATAAATCATATAATATAATTTACCAAATCAAGGTATACTTTCAGATAACAATTTTTAAAATTTTCTTTATTTTCCTATTGTTGGTCTTTCATTTTGCACTTTATGTGTTTGGTTTCTCTTATAAGAGAAATTATGTGATATTTAAGCTTGTATGTCTGATTTACTGCACTTAACAATTGTGATCTCTACGTATATCCATTCTCCTAAAGATGACTCTAGTTAATTTTTTATGACAGAGTAATACTCGTGTGTATGAATACTACATTTTCTTTAGCCATTCATCTATGGATGGACATATAGGCTAGTTCCAAGATTTAGCTATTCATGAATTGTGCTACTGTAAACTTGGGTATACATATATCATTGTAATATGATATATTTAATTCATTGGGGAGGATACCTGGAAGAGGAATAGCTGGATCAAATGAAATTTCTAGTTTTAGTTTTTTCAGGAATGGCCATACCAATTTACATTGTAGTTGTACTAGTTTACATTCCCACCAATGTAGAAAGGTTCCTTTCTCCCTGCAACCTTGCCAGCATTTGTTACTCTTTGATTTCATTCTTTCTGGGGAACGATGGAATCTCGGTATTGTTTTAATTTTCATGTCTCTAATGGCCAGTGGTGTTGAACATTTTTTAGTGTATTTATTAGTCATTTGTACTACTTCTTTTATAAAGTATCTGTTCATTTCATTTGCCCATTTTGATCAGGTCTTTTACTTGGGAGACCTAATTTTTTTTAGTTCTCCGTATTTCTAGATACTAATCCTCTGAGGAACAGTTAGAAAACTTTTTTCCCATTATGTGAATTGTATTTTCACTCCATTTGTTGTTTCTTTTGCTGTGCCAAAGCTTTTTAATTTGTTGTTGTCCCCTTTATTCTTGATACTATTTTCTATACACCAGGAGTTTTGTTCAGAAAGTCCTTGCTTATGCCTATAACTTCATGAGTTTTACCTATTTTACATTCCAGAAGGCAGAAGCTTTTTAATGAGATATAATTCCATTTATTGATTTTTTTTTTTTTTTTTTTTTTGCTTTGTGGTACAAGAGATCAAATTCGGGGCATTTTACCATACAGGTATATCTCCAACAGTTCTATTTATTTTGTTTTTCTTTGAGATAGGGTCTTGCTGTGTAGCTCAGGCTTACCTTGGGCCTACTTTTAGCTCAGGCTGACTTCAAACTTGTGTTGATTCTGGAGAGCTATGGTTGCAAGTGTTTCACATAAGTTATCTTCTAGCAGTTTCAAATTTTTTTTTATCAAGGTATTTGATTCATTTTGATTTTATTTAAGTATTGGATAATAGGGATTTAGGTTGGATACTCTGCTAGTGGGTATCCAGTTTTCCCAGCATATTTATTAAAGAGGCTCTTTTCTCCAACATATATTTTGACCCTTTTGTCAAAAATCAGATGGCTATAGATACATGTGGTTGTTTTTCTGTCTTCTGTGTCTTGCATTGGTCTACATGAGTTTTGTGCCAGTAGTGCGTAGTTTTCGTTACTGAAACTTTTTGGTACAACTTGAAGTCTGATATTATTATACTTCCAGCTTTGCTCATTTTGCTCAGGATTGCTTTGGCTATTCTGGGTCTTTTCTGACTCCATATGAATTTTAGTCTTTTTTTTTTTTAATTCTGTGAAGAATATTTTTGCTATTTCAACAGTGTGAAAGTCATAGAATGCACTTGAGACTATTGCTATTCTCAACATATTACTTATTCCAATCCAAGAACTAAGAATAAGAATGTCTTTCCATTTTCCAGTGTCTTCATCGTTTTTCTTTAGAGTTGTATAATTTTGTTATAGAGATCTTTTACATCCTTAGTTATGTTTAATTTTTTTATTGTTTGAAGCTAGGTATTTAATTTTTTGAAGCTATTTTTTGTTTGTTTTGGTTATAGTGAGATGAGTTCTCAATCTGTAGTCCAGGCTGGCCTTGAACTGGGTATCATTTGTGGGCCTTAAATTTGTGTGGTCCTACTGCCTCAGCCTCTTGAGTGCTGGACACCACCATGCCCAGCTATTAAGAATAGAATTGTTTTCCTGATTTCTTTCTTGGTGGTTCATTATTGATGTACAGGAATGCTTTTGAGTTTTGTATGTTTTCTTTTTTTTTTTATCCTGCCACTTTACTGAATTTTTTTCAATCAGTTCTGGTAGAGTTTTCTGGATCTTCTATGTCAAAGATCATCTACTCTGTAACTAGTGATAATATGACTTCTTCCTTTCTTATTTGTTTCCTTTTATTTCTTTTTTTTTTTTTTTCTGCCTGATTTCTCTGGCTAATTTTTTTTTTTTTTTTTTTGTCTTTTTTCCTTTTTATTGGTACCGGGGATCGAACTCACGACTGCCTGCTTGCAAGGCAGGCGCTTATGCCACTGAGCTAAATCCCCAGCCCCTCTCTGGCTAATTTTAAATACTATATTGTATAGGAGTGGTAAGAATGGACCCTCTTCTCTCTTCCATGATTTTAGAAGAAATGCTTTTAACTTTTCCATGTTCCATATGATGGTGGCTGTGAGCTTCTCAAATGTAGCTTTCATCAGTTTGAGGTATGATCCTTCTAAAGCTTCTTTCTTTTTCTTTTTAATTAGATTTTATTGGTACATTTTAGGTATGCATAGCAATCACGTTCATCAAAGAGAATTTGTACCTTACATGGTAGAATTTATTTTTTTCTCCATTCTCCTCCCTTCCCATTGACAAAACTTTATTTCCATGTTTTCCTTCTTTTCTCATTTTTTTTACTTTTCCCTTCTTTTCCTCCCCCTCCTCTGTTTTGTCCCCTTCCCCATTTGAACATTTTCCTATTTCAGAATACATTTCAGTCTTTATTTACACTTTGATTTCTCAAGAGAAGCAATGCAGTATTCACGCATGTGACTTGATTTATTTCACTTAAGAATATGGACTTAAGGTACACCCACTTTCCTAGAAATGTCTTGAGTATATCCTTCTTTATGGCAGAGTACTCCATTGTATTAAAAAAAAACCCACATCTTCTTTATCCTTTCACCAGTTGATGTGTACTTGGGTTATTTCTGAGATTTGGCAAATACAAATTGTACTGCCATAAACTTAGGTATGCATATGTCACTGTGATATGATGTTTTTAATTCTTTTGGGAAGATACACAGGAGAGGAATGGCGGGTCAAATGGCTAATGTTGTTTTTATCAGACTTGGGCACATGAAGAGAAGTTGGGTTTTGCTGAAAGGTTTTTCTGTGTGTATTGAGATGATTATGTGATTTTTATGCTTGCTTCTGTTTATGTGTCATAACAACATTTATTAAATTACACATATTGAACCATCCTTGCACCCATGGGATGAAGCCAGCTTGGTTACAATATATGGTCTTTTTAACGAGCTGTTGAATCCTGTTTGCAAGAGTCATATTGAGGATTTTGTCATTAATTTTC